GATGGCCAAGACTTCCTAGGCTGAAAGCTACCTTTGATGAGCAAGGGCTGTTATTCACAACAGCCACCAATGTGGAGAAGCTGATGGAAGCTCCCTTCTGGGTTATGGATGCAACATTCACAACATTCCCCACATTCTTCTGGTAAATGTATTCTATCCATGCACCTGTTGGAAACAGCAGAAAATTCCAGAGTATTGCCATGTGTATATTCCTTATTGCGCACTGATTCAGTCATGTTACACCTGAGTCTTGCATTTGATTGTGATTTTTTCCCCTAAATGAAAGACCTTGAATGGAGTCTATAAGTGCAGTTTATTTCTCAGTTTCACGCAGGTACTAATCATTGCAACATGCTACAATTTCCTTAATGGGTTTATATACTTTCGTCCTTCAAGGGAAGAAATAATTTGTAGTCACCCATTTAAGAGCTGATCAGTATTTAGGTCATTATATGAAATCTAATCCTGAAGGAAAGCTGTTTTGTTGCTTTGGCTTTCTGTCCATCTGTAGACATAGCAGCTAATTTTAATGATTTCAAAGTAGAAATATCACTTGGTATGTACTGAAAATTGCCTGATAATTATCATTACATACAGGTACAATAAGTAAATTCTAAAGGACATGAGACATAATTTAAGAAATGGTAGCAATATGAGACATGATTAATCACTGCTTTATGCTGGTGTTTTCATGCAACATTTTGGTTGGTTATAGAAAGAGGTGACACAGGGCATTGTACATACCAAACCCAATACTACTTCTTCTGTTCTTGAAAGAGCCGGCATTGGTGCGCCTGTAATTGTAGGAAGGTAAAAAAGGAAAATAATGAAGAAAAATGATACTTTAAATGTGTTTTTGTTGCTAAAAAAAAGTAAAGAAGCATCAGTAATCATACAGAACAGAAAAAATAAAGGGAACTACATAAGGATACTAAAAACTTCACTGAAATATGATGTCAGATACTGTCAAAAACTGCTCTGGAGATTCCAACCATGCGGAACAGAAAGGGGTGTTGGAAGCTGCAGGGAGACAAAATTGCCCCCTTCCCTGTTCCATTGACTAAGGCCTCCATTAGAGGAACAACATCAGCTGGATTCTACCCTTTATGTTTATTATTATTATTAATTTATTAGATTTATATACCACCTTTCATTAAAAGATCTCAAGGCGGCTCACAAGATAAAAATGCAAGATGTTTCCACTGGTGTTTCCAAAGCAGCTCAGTATAATCTAATGCTCCAGTTTTCATTAATCTGTGCAATTAGACTATTTTGAACAAGCTGTAAATGTTTAAAATATAGAGGCTTGAGATTGGGAGGAAATTATAGGAAACTAAATTTCTGGAACAAAAGGGTGTGGAAATGAAGATGACAAAGCAGAATTCTGTAATAATTACTATAAGAGTTCTACAACCAATTAATAGTGCAAACACAATATTTATACATATTCTTTATGGAGCCAAAAAAATGAAAACGCATCTACAGGTTTCTGTAAGGTGATCAGAAGACACATTTGTGATAAAACTAGAACCACGAATGTTCTGCATATTAGGCTCTTTTGGGAGGAAGTGCAAGATAAAATGTAATAAATAAATAAATAATAGGATGATACCCTTCATTTTTCATACTCAGAGTCAAATAACTTAATTTTAAATGCTCTGGATATGACTTGGATATATCAGTCATAATAACAAACAATGTCTCAAAAAGGTCAGTTTCACTGATCATGTTATTGCACTTGCAAGAATCATAAGCACACATGGCCTTATCATCAGCTTTAACAAGCTATCAAGACATAAAATAAGTATATTTTTCATATTTCATGTATTATCAGTGCATTTGTATTGCCAACCATCCCAACTATATTTACAAATGCACAATTATTATTATGGGGGGGGGAGGGTGCAAAAAAAGGGTTCTTGGCGAATTACTGATATTGCAGTATCATTTAGTCACGGATTAGTAAGTTCATGCTGTGGTAGCACTTGCAGACATGAATAAAAACTGCCATTTTTAATAAACTAAAGCAGTATTTGCCGTCACAATACAGTCCAAAATTCACTTAAGATGATGTACTAATACTGGTGCTGAATTTAAGGGAAAACAGCGCCTGCAGTTAAAAACGTATACCACCCCACTTCTTTTCAGTTATCCAGTGGATCACATTTCATATTCAAGCTTTCAGCATGTACTGTATGTGTATATGCTTTTTACCAGAATAACATGCATTATTGATTATGCCATCATTGTATTTAATGACTTGACTGGTAGCCATATGTGATAAAGAATTCCATGCAGTCAAATGTGTGGAATTGCATGACAGTGAGTATGTGGCTTGGCAGAGTGGAGAAACCAATTTCTCCACCAGCCTGATTGATATAAACCAATTTTCTTTTATTAGTCTGTTAAGAGAGTATTGTCTGCTGTTTCCATGCTTGCTGTGGAAGAAATGACTTCAAAGGACTATTAGCAGGCTAGTAATTTTGGGGGGCTTCTTTATAAAGTGAAATTATGCCCCCCGTTTAGTTCTCATTCTCCCCTGTTTAATTCTATCCCTTCTACTGATGTTCCTGTATAGTAATTACAATAGTTTCACCAGCAGAAATAAACAGAACCTATAAAAATTGCAACAAACATACTTCACATTAAATTCCAAGAAAATAAGAGGATAGAACTTGCACCATAGTAATAGGTTAGCACATTACAGAATGACCGGATATTTTACAGCCTATCCTCTGTGAGGTTCAATGGGGTGGAGGGAAAGGAATATAGATTGCTTGTATAATACAATGCGGTACATTAGAGTCAAGTGTTATATATTAAGGTCTACTGTACACTGTTAATATTCCCATATTTGACAGGTTAGTCATAACCTTACAATTATTTACACAGTGCACAGAACTGGAAACCTATTGAAACTGACCATGAAATACCTTGCCAGGTCATTTAATTGAGTACCCTGATAATATATTAAAGTACTTATTGGTCCTCTCTCAATAAAAATGCCCTAGCTCCTTTAATCTCAACTGTAAAAAAATCAAAACAAAAACAAAAAAACTTAATTGGACATTATTTGAACTCATCTCTGTGGGTGATGGATTTTTTTAAAGGAAAAAGGAAAAAAGAAAGAGAGATCTCCCCACCCTATAAGCTGACCTGGTCAGCCCCTGCTACTCTGATGTCTTTTCAAAATAAGTTGAAAACAACTGCTTTGCAAATCTTTTTCTAGATCAAGAGTAGTCATTTCCTTCAGGATTTCTTTATATGATTCTACTTTGGATAATAATCTTTGCATCACCATCAGATAGTCTACAAGAAACAGGATGAGAACATGTATTGAAAAACTTATTACAGTAAAGTTCAAGGACAGAGTCAACAAAAGCCAGAAAGGCAGAAGCAAAGAAAGCCCAGTTCCAAATAACACCATTTTATACCCAGTAAAATACTCATGAGAGTAGGTTTAATAGGCATAACCAACTCAGCTGAGATTATCAGAAAGAACAGCTCCAAACAGAAAAAACAACAACTTCAAAATAAGCACCATCCTTGGAAGTGCATAGCTTCAACCATCTTCTCAAAGTATACTAGCACATACAAGATAAACTTTGCCAGTTTCTATTAAGAATAACAATTTATGAGAGGAGACATATCCACAGTGGTGTATGGGACATTCGACTTTGCAGATAATAGCAGTGAAATCTAACACCAAAGGACATTCCCCAAACGACATCTATCTTATTTGTGGAACATATTTATCTGCACACAAGGCAAGGATGTCATATAAAATTTGCTTTAATTCAAAGAGGTCACCATTAGAATAATTCTAGTGGAAGATTCAAGACATTAAGAGAACTAAAAAAAAAAGTATACTAGTACACACATATAATCATTTTCTTTAGTATTTACCTCTTGCTTTATTATCTTAATGCTCCCAAAGAGTGTTATGGTATAAAACAAGCAATGTTCAATAAGCTCATAAAACTACATTAAAAACACCAACAAACAGGTCCAACAAAATAATTAACAATAACTAAAGCAGTGGTAAAAAGAATTCAGAGCTGCAAGGAATTGGTTGGTAGCAAGTAAGGGAATATGTGCTGGGACTAGGGTTAATGGAGAATTGTACAGAACTATGAAGACTGGAACTTGCCATGAGAAGTCATTCTCAAGACCACCCCTTACTCATTTCCAGCAGTTATATAATTTCATATTTCCAATATAATCTTTATAGATATATCTTTATAGTTAGGTACGTTATGACCCTTTCTTTCCATATTCTCTTGCATTCCCAACAAGATGCATCAAAACAATATCATATTACAAATAGCCCCAAATCTCAATACAATGTATAATCACATAACTAGATAGTTCTTTCTCATAATAATATGTTCAAATTATCCACAAAATACTCAATATGCAAAAGTCCTACAGATTTTGAAGAGAGCACTTCACCCTGCAGTTTGTCTTCGGGATTATACCTAGATAAAGCAAATTAAGGGAGCATTTTTAAAGGGGAAATACTGACATTCTAAATTATAGGGGAAATGTAGAGAAATGTCCTATCAAATTTCAGCAGGGAATTTTTAAGAGATCAACAAAGTATTCTTACCCATGCTTATTCAGAAGCAAATATTACTGAATTCAATGACACTTACTCCCTGTAAGTGGATATAGGACAGCATTCTTAAAAAATGTTCCCTTATTTTGGATTGTCTCACCTCTGTGCAGAAAACAAGTTTCAAGGAAGACCATTTCCCTTGAAGTCTGTGGAATTGCTGTTGTTAAGTATTTTGTCTTTATTTTTCTCTCTGCTGGAAAATTGCAATTCCCACACTATCGTATAAATATATTGGAAACAAAAGTACCAAACTCAAAGTGACATTGGTATTTACACCTTTCCACCATCTCCATTTTTTCCCAGTAATAAAGAGATATATTTAGCCTTTATTCAACATAATCCTGATTCTTAAAATAATAATAATCAAGGGAGACTGTTTTACCTTGTCACCTTCAGAGAATGTGATTCCATCGATTGCTCTTTTCCAAGTAATTTCAGGGACAGGTTCTCCTTCTGCCTCACATATGAGGGTAGCTTGGCCATTTTCAAAGGTAGTTTCATTTTTAAGTTGTATTATTTGAGGCTGTACTGTTAGAAATATAATTTATATTATTCATTCTTGATTTGAATAAATATGAACAATGCTATTTGTTTAGCTAGAAGATTTATAAGCCACCCTTCATTGGTACCAATACCAATGAAGATACAACACAAAATAAATTATTAAAAGACAATAATAAAAGAAAGCATCAGGAAACAAAACAGCAACTCAACAACTAAGCAGAGGAAAGGACTAAAACAGTAACTAAAAAGGATGAGTGGGTATGCCTTCATTTAGCACTATGTTAGTGTTGGGTGGGTGACATTCCACAAGAAGGCTGCAGCCATGGAGAAGGCTCTATCATGCATAACTTCAAGTCTCCCCTAGCAGTGGAATGAAAGGAAGAGTACTTGAGAATTTGGAAGCATTTTTTGGATCTGAACACACATAAATATTTAGCAGGACACAAAGAGAGAAAGGGCATTATTGGAAGTGCATCGGTGCCCCCAGGGAATGGGAGCAGGGCGTTCCTCTTATAGATTGTGCTGAAATTTGCTATTAACTGGTTTTTGTAGATAATTATGCCAAACTTGTTATACTCAAATGTATTACCAACTGAGTGCCACTTCCCCTGGAACTTCGGCAACCTATGATAAATGAAATTCTGCACATGTGTGGTAAAGTTTTCATCACAGCAGGCATCCAAAGCTAGCGGATTTTAGGTGTACATGCAGACATTGTTTAGTGTCCAACCCATACAGGTGATGAAAACATTAACTGCTGGGAAACCAAATGAATTTCTGAAATAGGCTTGTAACTTACAAAAGGAAAGACTTTAACATAGTCAGCTAAACTAATCAGATTTATTCATTTGGCAACCATTACAAATTTGAAAATACAAGGAATACATGTCGTTGACAACAAAGAATCTTGTAGAATAGTAATACATTAAATCAGAAGTGGGGAAGCCTGGGTGTTTCTTATTTTCAAATCTAAAATTTAGCAATAATTCAAGTCCCCTTGTAGCACTAATCAGAACATACTTTTTGTAAGACTGTGAATAAATGTAAGCAATAAAAGAAAAGAAAAAATACAGTGGTGCCTCGCAAGACGAAATTAATCCATTCTGCGAGTCTCTTCGTCTTGCGGTTTTTTCGTCTTGCGAAGCACGGCTATTAGTGGCTTAGCAGCTATTAGCGGCTTAGCGGCTATTAAGGGCTTAGCAGCTTAGCGGCTATTAACGGCTTAGCGGCTTTAAGAAAAAGGAAACAAACTCGCAAGAACTCGCAAGACGTTTCGTCTTGCGAAGCAAGCCCATAGGGAAATTCGTCTTGCAGAACGACTCAAAAAACGGAAAACCCTTTCGTCTAGCGAGTTTTTCGTCTTGCGAGGCATTCGTCTTGCGGGGCACCACTGTAGCAGCCATTGAGTAAATGAAACTGGAAATTGTTGGTTACAGTGCATCAGTGAATCACTTCCATACTAAAAGAATGACAGTTGTATTTCAAATTTAGAAAAAAGTTGCAGGGAACCCTTATCACTTTTAAAAGTGGTCTTCTTCAATGCTTCAGTTAGCTGCCACAGGATTTTCATAGTGCTGTTTGTGCTTACTAAGGAAAAGGGGGGAGGGGTGTTTTTCAAGATAAAGATGGGGGTGGAAATTTCCTACTCCTTTGAAACGTTTCCCTCACTCTTTTAAATAGTGCTAAAGGCATTTGGAGCTATCTACTAGTTTCAAAACAGAGTGCTTGGCTATATAAAGCAGGAAAAGGGGTAATGTCTGTGGGTGTTCCTGTATTTTTGCCAGCCTGACAGACACTAGGCTACTCAAATTCAGCATTAGAAATAATGGTAGGTTATAGCATCACTGTCCTCCCCTAGGTTATTCTAATGAATCCTTGGGGATTAGGATTTGGGCTGGGGGAAGAATCACAATATGCAAGATACTATAATCCCTATTCCCTGAGATATGTTGCTTTATGGAAAATCTAAGTTTCCTTTAAAACTCCTCAGAGTTCAGAAGTTTGCTTATTCTTTTTTTACCTTAGGTGAAATTTCTGGCAACTTGGACGTATGCCATACACCAGGCATAGGCAAACACAGCCCTCCAGATGTTTTGGGACTACAACTCTGACCATCCCTGACCACTGGTCCTGTTAGCTAGGGATGATGGGAGTTGTAGTCCCAAAACATATGGAGTGCCGAGTTAGCCTACGCATGTCATACACCCTTGCACAGCACCTCCAAATTTGTCTGAAATCTTTATGTGAAATTCAGTGGCAACTTTAACAATACAACAGGAATCAGAATATGTACTCTAATTTTGAACAGAGTTCAAAGGTAGATATAGCAAGCAATACTTACCAAAAACTTGAAGAAATGTCTGATTTGTCATCTTTCCTGCTTTATTTCTTGCTTCACAGATGTAAGGTCCAGCGTCAATATTTTTGATATCTCTAATGGTCAGTTCTGTATTGCTTCCCCTTAGTACGTATTTTTCATTTTCCTCAATGCGTTTTCCTCTCCTGAGAGACGAAAATGATTTATAAGCACAAAGCATACTTTATCATCTGATCTGAAACAGGCAAGCATTTCAAAACAATATTACTGTTGTTATTTGGGTTGTCTTGGGCGAGATAAAGTGACTAACAGATTTAATAAATAAATAATGATAAATAAGTATAAGAATATCTTCACGATCATTTCTAGTACATAGCATACTAGTGTCAATAGTAGCACACAGTTTCTTGGTTCACTGGCAAATGTACAGTGCTATTTTTTAAAAAAAAATTTGCAAGGCAATTCATTTTAATAGGGTTCACTGAATAATTGAGGACTATGCAAATTAATTACCTGAGGTCAAATTATTTATTAGTTTCACGTAAATTCAATATAACCTCACGCATTCCAACCTTCTCACTGGATGTACAGCTCCAGTCATGAGAGTTTAAATATATTCTCACTGTACTACTGAACTTACTACCCACAGTCACTTCATCATGATTGACTGACCTGTGGCCAATTTAATTTAACCCAAGGTAATATTTCTGGGTTAGTGGAGTCTGTAACCTGAAACATATGTAACCTGAAGCGTATGTAACTCTAGGTACCACTGTACTCTCATAGGCTGTATTCAGACAGCACTTTATTTGGTCTTCCTGACCTTTCCATACCTGTTAATTTTCGTGTTTTATGGTCACACAAGAACAAATGTCACTGGACATGTCTCCACAACCCTACCCGTTACATACGTTTCAAGTTACAGACTCCACTAACCCTGAAGTTTTATGGCATAAAAGCAACTTCTAGAAATCCACTGGAATCTAGCAGAAGTTTAGCATTCATTTACGTCTTAATTGTTTTGAGAAATATAAATGGGAGCACACAGGTGGGGTTGTGGTGACATGTCCAGCGACATTTGTTCTTGTGTTACACCATGGCCACTGGTGTGAATGAAATATGAATGCATTTTGAAAGCTTGGGTTAGCTGTTTCTCTCCTACTGGACTCAATATACCAAAGAGGTTACAATTTAAGCAAAAGGGATGTTACTGTACGTTGCTGTAGTGTAGGAGGAAGAGAAAACCTGTAATATTAGCAAAAAAACTGCTTCATTGTTGCAAATTATAGCCTGCTCACACCATGCAGAATATGTCTTTTCTCAAGGATATGGGAAGAAAAAAGAAAACTGAAAAACCAAACCAAAAATAAACCCCCACAGCTAAATACTGGATATTTTCATCTTTAAAAGAAAGCTTTATCCCCAAAACATGCTATCCTCAAACAGGCAGAGAGGGAATTACCCTGAGGCAACAGGAAGTTCTGCTTATGTCAGGAAACAAGGATCTGAATACCAACAGTTGAGGTTGCAAATAAGTCTTCAAGAGATTAATAATTTAAGAAAATGAACAATACTAAAAGAAGGCATCCATTTACATTTTTGAAAGATAAGCCTCAGAATTTTTTTTAAGATGTTATCAGGGGGACTTCTTTTCAATCAATGATAATTGCCATTGAAAATGACGTTTTGATAAAATCTGCTGATTTAGTTGCTTCTACCTATGAAGGAACTTTTCTGTGGAAAGATCCACAAGGTCAGATTTCAAACCCTCCAGTGAGAGGAAGAGATCTCATCCAGCAGCTTATATACAGGTGGGCACTATAAAAATAGCATGTACAAGTCTACTACTGTAATTCTCAACATTGAAAAAAATATTGCTATGAATAATTTCATGCTAGACTGAGTATAGTACTGGAATTGCACCCCTTTCCTTTTAAAATCTATGCATCTATGTGCAAACTGCATCAGTTTGCAAACTACAGCTTTTGTAATATTTATTTAAATAGATAAGCAGAAAGAAAAAAGTTGGTAAAGTAACTTCTCTGAGAGATTACCCCTCATGCTTTTAACACAACGAAATGGTATTTTTATGCAATACCTGAGTCAGATTTTTCATGTTCAAAATTGCAGAAGCAGCTTTGAGAAGGAGTATGCTTCTGAACACACAACTGGAAATACTTGTTTAGACAGAAAAGCTCAGATTTTTGATTGACTTTTCTCTTAAGTACCTCTTTGCTCATTACAATTTACATATGAGAGAAATATGAGATTTGGGACAGAATCCCAACAAAATGTTTTCTGGAAAAGAAAGCATCTCTCAACAAGAGGTGATTAGTAAATAGAAATAAAGTTTGATCATGGACTGTATTAGTTATCGTCTATGTAGCAATGTTTCTAAACAAATTACCTTATCCATATGTGGGAATACAACTGAACTTGTATTCTAAAAAGGTAAGGTAAAGGACCTCTGGACGGTTAAGTCCAGTCAAAGGCAACTATGGGATAAGGCGGTCATCTTGCTTCAGGCCGAGGGAGCCGGCGTTTGTCCACAGACAGCTTTCTGGGTAATGTGGCCAGCAGGACTAAACTGCTTCTGGTGCAATGGGACACCGTGATGGAAACCAGAGCACATGGAAATGCCATATATCTTCCCACCGCAGCGGTACCTATTTATCTACTTGCACTGCTGTGCTTTCGAACTGCTAGGATGGCAAAAGCTTGTATTCTACATCTAATTGGCACTGAAGACTTGCATGTAAAATGATGGAGGCCCAAACCACCTCAAAAAGGGTAAGAGAAACAACCCAGCCACACTTTCAGTGGGTAGAATAGAGAGTTGCACATGGGGAAAGGCCTGCAGAACTGCTCTAGGCTCCATCCACAGTGCAGCAGATTGAGGTGTGTGTATTGCACCCCGCAGTCCCTGGAGACTCATCTGGATGTACTGCTGGTGGATCATCTGGATGACAAGCTGATGACTGCACTGAATATGAAAGTCTGAACTTTTGCCTCTCCCCAGCTTGGCTGAAGCTCTATCCACTTTGGCAGTGTAACTCAGATATAAACAAAGTGAATAATATTTCAGGATCCATGTCTTTCTTGTATTTACAGCATTCAGATAATCTTTCATGTTAATTTTGATGGTTTCAGATAGCACAAAGTCCAATTACATGACATTTCCAACAGGAATAAAGTAAAAACAAGAACAAAATACCTGCTCAATTAGTGACCCTTTAAAAAGAAATCCCTATGAGCTCAAAGGTTTATTTTCACCTCACTATTCAAATGTATATTTGAAATATCTCTGCAGCATATATTTGAGCTTACCTATACCAATTGATTTCAGGTTCAGGAGAACCCATGGCTCTGCAGAATAATGTAATTGACTCTCCTCGATCTGCTGTGGCATTAAAGGACTTCTGTAGCAATGTGATAGCTGGAGGAACTGAAGAAAATATGGAAAATGGATGTAAGGTTAGATAAGGTTAGAAAGCACACAGATCCCTCTTGTTTCTTAAAGTAACTTTGCTATAACCATTTCATTTTCGAACCACAAATAAGGCCGATGGATAAGTTTTAGTCAAGTAAAATTCAGTTACTTATTTACTATCATAAAGAACAGGCATAGGCAAACACAGCCCTCCAGATGTTTTGGGACTATAACTCCCACCATCCCTGACCACTGGTCCTGGTTAGCTAGAGATGATGGGTACTGTAGTCCCAAAACATCCGGAGGGCTGAGTTTGACTATGTCTGATCAAGAATATTAGCAGTTTATAGTTTCAGTTCAGAGTTAACCACAGTACTTCTATCAGAAGAAACCATGGATATTTAAACCTTAATTGTTAGGCTCTAAACTGTTAACTCTTAGCATTTTGATTGCCATTTTAAAAATTAAAAATGTATAGTGATTTTTTGACATAAATGCATGATAGTTTTTAAAGGTTACTGCAGTATAAATGCTTTGAGGAGTTCATTACTGGAAACAGGAAAAACGCCTTAACAATAGCACCTTAGATTTAAATATGTAATTACTTCAAATGAATTGCAATTAATTGCTAACTACATATTCCACACAAATTTGTAAACATCAAAGCATATGAAACATAATCCCTTTTAATTTTTTGTTTGGTGCACTATATTTATTAAAATAACATTCCTCTTACTTTGGGTAGTGTCCTTTAAGATGACTACAGCCTGCCATCAACCCTGTTGGCTGAGTTTGCCTAACCTGAGATCAGCAAATAGCTGACTCCTACTCCCCAAAGCCAAACCTTTCAAGGAATGGAGGGAACTACAGGCAGCAGAAAAACCATACTATACAACCGTTGAGAATAATGAAGACATTCATGCTCTAGGGAAGTTTCTTTCCTGGTCTGCTCAGGCTAATGAGATCAAAGGTTGGTTTTGTAGTCCACAAAAATATCTCAGGATGGTCACAATAGCTTTTTACTACCTCATTTTTTATTATACTATGTCTGCATGTATCTTCATTGTGGAAGGAGGGAATATAAATGTTTGGTTTGGCTGGACTGTGCCCATTCTATGCACTATAAAGGTAAAGATAAAGGTTCCCCCGACTGTTAGGTCCAGTCGTGGATGACTCTGGGGTTGCACGCTCATCTCGCTCTATAGGCCGAGGGAGCCGGCATTTGTCTGCAGACAGCTTCCGGGTCATGTGGCCAACATGACTAAGCCGCTTCTGGCAAACCAGAGCAGCACACGGAAATGCCGTTTACCTTCCCACCAGGGAAGTACCTATTTATCTACTTGCACTTTGATGTTGTTTCAAACTGTTAGGTTGGTAGGAGCTGGGACTGAGCAATGGGAACTCACCCCGTCACGGGGTTTCGAACCACGACCTTCTGATAGGCAAGCTCTAGGCTCTGTGGTTTAGACCACAGCGCCACCTACGTCCCTTCTATGCCACTATACCACACACTTAATAAAAGGTGCCATTTTGAAAAATAAGAATATAGAGTTGTATCTAATGAAATCATAGAAGATGATTAACTGAAATTCAGAGGTCTGCTCTAAGTCATACACAACCCATAATTAAGGTAATGTTTAAAAATAATACACCAAACATTATGCCTTGGATGAAAAGAAATGTTAAGTGAGACTCCACTTGCCCCATTGGAGCACTGCCACCTTCCCAGTATGGAACTGCCTTTCAGCTTATGCAGGGCACCTTTGGACCCAGGCCTATCTTTTTAATCAAGATACTTCTGCTGAACTGAAGATCATTTAAAATAAAAGGTTTGCATGGATACATATATGTAATAAAAGACTACAACCCTGGTCACATGTAAACTTTAGGTGCACAACAATAGTCACAAACATTAGATTATATACGTGTGTGTGTGTGTTTCATCATTAAATGAAAGTCTCAAGGTGTAATTTAACAAGCTGATAAAGTTGCTACAGTAATGAGCATAATATTGAATCCTTGATTATTCTGAATTATATAAGTTGAGGTTCTCCCAATGTAACATCTAGCCCAATTTCTATTATAAATTGGAATGTGAACTCAATGGTAGACCATTACCTTGATATTATAGTATTAGAAAAATTGATTTTTTCATGACTTTTGCCAGACCTCAGCTTTACACACTTAGAGTAAGCTACAACATATTTTGTGGTAATAACAAGGCAAGAGAAAGCACTGAGGGCCACACATAAAGGGTGATAATTTAGATTTACGTTATATTTTGTTTGGTGCTAAGCAGAATTATTTCAACACAAAAAACAGGCATCTCTCTCTTTTTCTCTCTCTCTCTCTCTCTGTGTGTGTAGAACTGTTCAGTTTTGCTTCTTACCATTTACAAGTACAATGATATCCCGAAAGTCAATTTCCCCTCTGGCTTCTACTCTTCCTTCACATCTGTAAACACCTTCATCGCTTTTATTGATTTTAAGAATTTGAAGATTATTGTTTGGCAGCATGGCAAACCTATCTGGAAAGGCATGTAAGATATAAAATAGTATCAGTAAGTGAAGGCACTGCTGGGAACATGGTTATGAATTGATAAAATTTAAACTATTCTGCTATACTATCAGAGAGCTCATCAACAAAACATACTTCAATTTACAAGTAAAATGTAATTCTAGAAGCTCAGTTATCCTATATCAAATGCTTCATGTTGTCTTTTTTAAAAAAATAACAAATGTACCTCTTATAAACAACAGCTCATCTGACCCATCATACCTCACAAACTTTCCTAACAAGAAATGAATATCAGAACAAGAAAAAGGGAGGCAGGAAAGAAAAAAAAGAACAGAGGCGGGAAGAGAGATAAAGAAGTAAGTTAGGGAAAGCCAACATGGTTCCCTCCAGACATTGTTACACTGCAGTTCCTATCATTCTGACCTCTGGCTATGCTAGCTGGCTTGGGCGTGTGCAAGTGGTTGCCCAACAAGCACAGGAAATGAACCACATTGGCTATTGGAAGGTTATATATGAATTTATCTACAGATTCTCAATCATTTTTATAAGTCTCTCTCCTGTTATATGACTTTTCCACACACTGAACTCTTGCATGTCTCTACCACGTAACTGATAACAGGAGAGTGAGATAGCTCATGGTTTTGAAGTTTTAACTTTTTGCCACCAATGAAGGTTGTTGAACTCATAATGCAGGGGTCAGTCCAAGCTGGTCCACAAGACTGTTCTCACCCAAACCATGCCAATATCCCCCAAACCTCCTCTCAGGTGTGAGGTAGGTAAGGGTGCAGCTCCAAAGGAATAATGCAAGCTCAAAAGCACTGGCAGAGAACCCCACTAGGGTATGTATGCTGCTGAGGGGGATCAATGTTAAGTAAGACCCCCTATTGTTTGCAGGTGAGGTTTCATAGCACATCTGCAAACAGACATTTTTGCTTTCCAGATACCACCTGCAGATGGAAAATGTAACTGCTGTAACTCAATGTAACTGCTAATCGTCAGTAACAGCAAGCCTGTTTGCAGGCACACTCCCAGTGCCAATCAACTTCAAATGGTTGCAACCTGATATAAAGTCAGGTGACTGACCAGTGGAGGCCCTGCCCACCTGTCAAAGATGGTCTGCAGGGGGGTTAGGAAGGAGAGGTTCTGGCCACCTGCTGAATCCACTGCCCTACCTCTCTCCCAATGTATCACTTAGAAAGCTCCCACAATGATTTAAATAATCCAGAATCAACTGACTGATGGAAAATAGGATAGCAGAAGACAAAGAAAAAATAATTCAATGCTCCAAATCATGGCAAAATCCAACAACCATGGAGCAGATATTTATATCTTTTGTTAAAATTCAGTCATTTTCCTGATGTTTAATTCAGTATATTTTAGCTATTTTTCAGAATTTACTAAGGTAGTATAGAAATTAAAGTAGAATTGAAGTCATGTATGAGAAAAAATATGGTCTTGGGGGTCTAATCCAAAGAACAAACAAATGAAGATTAACATGACAGTTCTTGAATTATTGGTCTCCATGACTAACCTAATTTACAACCAAGTTTAAAAGCTAAAAATCTACAAATGTCTTCCCACAGCTGTTGACTAGAATTATTTATTTTTGTACTTGGCAAGAGTCGTGGGGTTACTTAACAAGAAGGTACCAATCATAGTCAGTTTGTAAGTTCAAAAGGGATCCTTAGCAGAGAAGTCTCAAACAACACAGGGTCTAAAATAACCTGGTAGATAGTCCTGTGGCAACAACCACCACTTCTTTGGGAAATTTCTTTCATCACTGAGTTTGTACATAGGACCCAAGTAGTCACCAGGGTTTTTGTTTTGTTTTGCTTTGTTTTTGGCCAGTTTTATCTTGTGGCTTTCATTTGCCAATCCCTAAGCTATTTACCTTTATTTGCAATGGAAAATTAAATTTCAGAGGGATATATCAGGAAAAGGACTACATCGCGATTTAATAGTAACATTAATTGCATTCCCCATCTCCAGCAATATAACATCTCAATGACCACATTTACTCATTATTTTGCTAACACAATAGGTGTTTCATTACTATATCAGAACATTAACGTAAGTGCCTTTAAACTGGTTGAATGTAGAATGAAAACAGATAATTTAAAGAGTTACCAAAATACTAACTGTCAGCAATATTTGAGACTTCCTCATTTTGATACAACCAGCTGACAATAGGTGCAGGTGAACTAGTAACACGGCAAATGACTTGTACATCTTCTCCCTGTACAAATTCTTGTGGGGATGAGATATCTTGGAATGTGAGCTTTTCTAAGAAAGAAGGAAAGACAGTTTAGTTAGTAGCTTCTACCATTTGCTGAGAATTCCAAAGTACATTACTTAGGTAACAAAGAGAATTTACTTAGCACTTTAAAGTGTTAAAAGTATTTCACATGCAAGTTGGATAAGTACGATTATCGTATTGTTCTGTTGCAGCAAAAAGACAAGGTCGATGGCAAAAATATAAAGCAGGGCATCAGTGCTATATTATTTATTTCATAAAAGTCATACACTGCTTGATTGTTCTTGTTTTTTAAATCACATCAAATTTGTTTTCAAAAATACCAGAATACTTTAAGTTTCTATTAACAAAGACAAAACTATTTCAAGTTAAAAGTAAACCATTGTTGTTGTTGTTTAGTCATTTAGTCATGACCAATTACTATAAATAAGTCTTCTGCTGCCATCTATTACAAATATATATGAAAATTTGCTTACTTCAAAGTAATCGTTGAGTACATACAATACTTAGCACTGAGTAGCCCCAATATAATGAATACTTTTGATATAAAGTTTACAGAGCACTTATATTCATCATTTTCGGTACAACATGAAGGAAGAGAAGCCTCACTACTGAATTTATTTTCACCTTTGGATTTTACTTACGGTAAATTTCCAAAACAACAGTAGCCTCTTGAGTCTGTCCTCTAGAATCTGTTGCTTGACACCTGTATATTCCAGCATCTTCCACATTGGCATTGTAGATTGTTAACCGTGATCTGACACCTTCTTTCTGTACTACCACTCTTTGATTAGATACAATCTTCTCTCCTTGTGGGTTGTACCAATCTATACTCTCAGCCTCACCAATTACTAAAGGAAAGAAGAAAGAAAGACAACAATGTACATAATGAATAATGGACAAGTGATCAGGTACATTTCTTTAAAATATGCTATGCTCATGTGCATCAGTTTGGTTCTATATTTTGGGACAATATCAAGCAGTCTCACAATATTATGTCCAGTAGGGGTCTTCCAGAAGTTTGATTTCGTTAGGGGTGTGCATCTGATTTTACTGAATCCTAAATTAGAAACAAGCAACACAAAATGGCAGGTTTCAGGCTTGTCTAGGATTCCCATATTTCAAGAAGTAAAAATTTGGGTGATCTTGCAAAAAATAAAAGCTCAACAACTTTTTTTTGCAATCTCACCAAAATAAAGCCCTCTAAAACCCAGGCATTTCCTATAAAATGCAAAAAAAAAACAAAACAAAAAAAAAACACACCAAACAAACCCAGAAGGGGATGTAGGCCCCCCCAAAAGAGGACATGTCTGGGATTTTCCTGATGTATGGCAAGCCTAGGGTTGTCCAAGCCAAAGAGGAATCTGTATGAAGTGCCTTGAACTGAAGCAAGAACAACTCAAGTGATTTGGAGATACTTTCTTTTTTATATCTGTGGACAGTGTGCCTGCAAAAAATCAAACCATTTCTCCCAAGATTCCAATGTAATGAAATTCCACTGTAAAAGTGGGAAAGCAGAAATAATTTAATTGGGTCTCTGCAATCACAATGCTTCAGGGAAAGGATGCTAAAAGGATGTTTTTACCAGTTCTGCTTGTTTTGCTAGTTCTGCTAATGATATTTGTTTCCAAAATGATAGACAATCGAGTCTTTCTGCCTTTGTGTCATTGCCCAAGCATCCATTCCTGCACTGATATAATTTTTAAGCTGCTTGTAAAAACAAACTCTAAAAACAACAAAATAAAAAACCAACCATTCTATCTTTTATTTGAATAAAACATGAAATGTAGAGTATTTTCAGGAACAAATTATTCATTAGTGGTTGACATTTGATTTAGCTAGGTTTTGTTTGTATTACTTCTTTTTGTAATAATCTTTAATTATCTGCCATTAACTCAAAATTCAATTGGTCGGAATGAGTAGCCATAAAAATAATTACATGGAATGAACTTTGTACTTTCTCCTGTCCTAATATCATTTCAAAGTTAGACGGTAGTGACCTCATGGTTTATAGACCTAATAATGTATACTTAAATTCTAATGGGATATCTCATTGTCTCCTGGCTATGATATGACAGTAAAATCAACTCCTTTCAAATCTCACTTGGAAGCACATTGCAGAGATTATGAAGCATAAATGCAGTGGAAATGTGATTTTCAGAGTTAAGACTTAGAAGGAAATTCCACCAATACCTGTACTCATTAAATGAAACCCCACATTGTTCAGATAGTTTAATTTATTCAGTAGCCACTGAATAATTAGTGCCAGAACATTTCTCAATGTTTCAGTTCATTATACATTTTTCATGCTTTGTAATGCATTTGCAGAACAGGTAGAGTTTGCTACTCAGTACCAAGAAAAGATTCCCCTCTAAATTTCCATACAAAGGGTTACTATGAAAAGCTCAGGAGCACATCCAGTAAAATAGAGAGCAACTCTATTCTTGCTATCTTTTCAGAAGTGAAAAGAGGTCATGCCCAGTGCCACTAATGTTTCCAACCAGCTCAGTTCTTTTCTCACTTAATTGCCTTAGTTTGTACCCTCTGCAAACTGGCTGCTTCAATATGAAAAACTCAATTCCTACCCAGGGCTGGCTCTACCATTATTTAGAGGTGGTGCTGCATTATTTTTGGGGCCGTGAAAGAGAAGCAAATTATTAGTTTTTTAATTTATCATTGTCATCATCATAAAATTTACATACCGCTTAATATATATATATATATATATATATTGTCAGGGAACTGCCATCAGCTCAGAGACGAGAGGTGGAAGGGCAGTTGGGTTACAGGGAGCCTCCAAAGATCGTGAGAAGCAGCACTTCCTCCGCGGAGGAGGAAAGCCACGCCTCCAGTGGGGAAGAGGTGCAGGGCTCGGAGGATGCAAGGGAGAGCCACAGTACCGAGCATGAACAAAGCAGGGGGGAGGCAGGTCCCCCTCTGCCCACGCCCTCTTTGCACAGTCAGTTTTCGTGCAGAGAGAGGAGGCGTAGGATGGGGGTCAAAAGACTACTCTGCTGGGGAAAGTTTAAGGACCGCCCACTCCCAGATTCTGCTAGCGACTGAGCAGACATGGAATTGAGTCGATCTGCATTGTGAACATTTTGGACAGATAATAAAGCCTTGTAAAGACCAATGGGGAGTCTTGCCTATATATATATATAACACCAGTTTACAAAGTATACCAAGTATACCATATGACTTGAAGGGAGCGCTATACCATCTGAATTGAAGGACCGCTATATGCTGTTCTACCTGAGGCAGCCAAGTTCTCACTCTCCCCTTTTGCTCCATAGACTACTGACTCCAGACCCATTGAGAGGAATCTTCACTTCTGAAAGTTTGCATATAAGGGACCATTTCACAAGGTGCCTGTGATCACCACATGGCACTAAATGATAAGAAAACACAGTTCAAGCAAAGCACATTCCACACGGTTCAATGCTATGGGGGGAGGTAGAGTTGGAGAATATGTAATTTATACAGTTCGTGCAAAGATCAGGGACCATTTCCCAATCAATCAAATCAAAATAATGTCAGACATTATTCTCAAGTGGGGTAGCTGCTTTCTAATGCCTACAAATAATTTTTGCTTCCATAAAAGCTCTGCAGGACCAGGCTTCCTGTAGACCAGAGAGTACCTATATTGGTATGTAACTATATATAATCTAAAATAATACAATGAGACATAAAGTGCACACAACATTAAGAATCCAAGTTGATGCATCAAAAAATAATGTCAAAAATATTAGAAAATATTAGGTTGAAACTGCACTCTTCCTCATAAAAATCCAGCACACATCTGGTTCCAGGAAGTGTCTTATGATCAGGCAGGAGGGCCATAAATATTTGAAATTTCCTTGCTCAACCACTTCCTTCCTTCCATCAGCTTATAGCTTCTTCTTTCACTGATATCTATGTAAGATATTGCCTTGCCCCATATTCTCCAGTCTTAGATTCCAAGCCTCAAATACTCACATTCCCATCAGGCCAATCACTAGTCAGTGATTGTTGCAATGAACAACTTTGTTACACTTCCTTAACCATCCCGACGCTTAGCTGCTTGCCTCCAATTGGTGTACACACTAGTCACACGTGAAAAGGGATAGAAGTCAAGTTGAAATTAAGCAAATATACATACCTGTGCATGTGAAGAATTTGGATACACCCACACTGACTTCTACCTTGCTGAGGGAAATTGACACTTGTAAAAGTGCTGCAAAATAAAATAAAATAAAAATTATTATTATTGAAGCAGAATTTTCCATATGTCCACAAAGAGAAAAACTTCCACATATTAAAACCGTAAATAGAATCATGTCCCTACAAATTAGATTCCTCTCTGAGAGAGCCTTACACGCTACCTCTTGGAATACTTCTAAGTAACAAGCGCTACAAACCAATATTTAGAAGCAGAATCCAAATATTAGGGGCAGACATACTCATGTATAAAAAAGGGGAAAAAACAGTTAATGAGATTTTTTAAAAGAGACAATCACGTTATTCTAAACACATCACACCATCTGTTAATTTTTAAATACATTTAGCTAAATCCAGACTACGCTAGATGAACTCAATGGTGTCTAAATAATTCACGCATAAGTAGACCTACATGGTAGTCCTTGAGTGACATTGTCACAGATTGTTACCTGCACAATGTCCCCAAATTACAGCTAGTTGCCACTTGCTATTTTTCTTCTGGAAACAAAACAACAACAACAAAACCACCTGTGGCAAATAAAATAAAATAAAATAAAATATGACCCTGAAATGCATTGAATTTTGCCATTGGGATGTGTTTACTACAAGCCAATGTTAGCAGACCAGGGTGAATAAAAAATCAAGAAAGGTCAAGAAACGGTGGGGCATATCCATATTTCTCTAACCAAAAGCAGTTCTCTTGAAGGTTTCTTAATGGAATCAGAAAAATACCCCATTTACCATTAATGTTAGTTAACATTGGTTTTCAGCTGCAATGTAGGTCCCGCCCCCCGACAAGTTACAAAATTTTCATAACACTTTAAAAGATTTGTCATTTGTAAAAGGGGTCATATTCTGTTAAAAGTAATCCATCTTGCTCACTACTCAGCCTTCCCGTCAGCAGAACTATCATAAGAGTTGCTTACAAAATGATTCTGTGCCCAGTCTGTTTGCAGTCAACAAGCTACAGCTTTCCTCTCAGCTATCAAACGGACTAAATATTAATGTTTAGTGTACAGCTACATCTATATTTTTTTCTTTACTTGATTGCATGTGTGAGGAACCCTGAAAGTTACTAGGACCATGACAGAGAGACAGAGCTTCCAAAGGTTAGTGAAAAATAAAAATAAAAATCCCATTTGTGCCCTGCTATCTACCATAAAAGACGCGGGTGGCGCTGTGGGTAAAAGCCTCAGCGCCTAGGGCTTGCCGATCGAAAGGTCGGCGGTTCGAATCCCGCAGCGGGGTGCGCTCCCGTCGTTCGGTCCAGCGCCTGCCAACCTAGCAGTTCGAAAGCACCCCCGGGTGCAAGTAGATAAATAGGGACCGCTTACCAGCGGAAGGTAAACGGCGTTTCCGTGTGCGGCTCTGGCTCGCCAGAGCAGCGATGTCACGCTGGCCACGTGACCCGGAAGTGTCTCCGGACAGCGCTGGCCCACGGCCTATAGAGTGAGATGGGCGCACAACCCTAGAGTCTGGCAAGACTAGCCCGTACGGGCAGGGGTACCTTTACCTTTACCTTTATCTACCATAAAAGCTTAAAACTCATCAGAATATGTTTAAATCACTCACTGCCAATGAAACAGAATATCATGTTTACTGAAAGGGGACAGAAGACCATGGTTCTGAGCGACATACAATTAAAACAGGAAAACAGAATTCTGACTAAATTAGTGATGCTGGCTTCTAAAAAGTTCCAAACTGCATGCAGAAAGTAGAAATTGTCCTCTTTTGGGGGTCTTCTGGTGGTTCCCCTACTTCAAGAAGTGAAGTTACAGGGAACCAGGCAGAGGGCCTTCTCAGCAGTGGCACCCTCCATGTGGAACACCCTCCCATCAGATGTTAAGGAAATAAAGAACTACACAATTTATAGAAGACATCTGAAGGCAGCCCTGAATCGGGAAGTTTTTAATGTTTGATATTTACAATGTTTTTATATGTTCTGTAAGCCACCCAGAGTGGTTGGGGAAACCCAGCCTGATGGTGGGATATAATAATAATAATAATAATAATAATAAATAAATAAATAAAAATAGATCAATAGCAATGGGCCTAGCTGCAATGTTTAGCTGATTAATAGGCTAGATTAATGAATGCATTTTTGTAGTGGTTAAAAAGTTATCTCTGATTAATTATGCTTCACATTGAAATCATTCATTGTTTTTAATGGGATGCAGTCAAGCAAGAAGGGCACCCTAGTGTTGTTGATGTCCCCCTTCCCTACCCAGAGGAACCCCCTGTGCTACCAAAAATATATTTATGAGGGTTGGGGACACTTCAGAGCAGTATGGGACATGGCACAAGAGACTGCAATATTTGCTTGCATTGATGCAACCTGTAGTATTGTGATGCTACACGGACAGACAGCACAGCACAGCAGAAAACCTATTCAGGCATTATGGAAATGGAGTAAGTTCTTCCATAAGGAGGAAAACGTTGAGATGAATATGTTAGCTTCAGCCCATCTCTCTTCCTTTTCATCACCTTCCATGAGTTGGCTGGAGAACCACACTGCAAAATTTGAAGAAGACTGAATTTCCAAGGATTGCTGAATACACTAATATTCAGTTGGCACAGATTGCTCCTCAACTTAAACAACATGAGGAGGAATAGAATTTGAAGGCACTGGTATTAAAAATTCTAAACTACACTTATAAATGTAGGCACAACTCTAGTAGTAACAGAATAAAGGAAAGAATATAAACGCATGTTCTACATATGGTTATTTAATAATTATAAAATAGAAAACAAAAAAATACCATATGCCCTCTTTCCCCAGCCCAGCCAGAAGCATCATTTCTGGCAAGGCTTTATGTAAATACGGTTTGAGAGAATTAAAAATAAATAAATCCCTGATGCAGATTAGAATCGAAAAGTATTTCCTTAGTGATTAGTTGAGCAATCTGTGCTTATGAGGTAGTTAAGCAAACTCTATTACCGGTTCATGGAATGTTCTCTCATCAGTTATTTGAAGTATGACATTTAATTAAAATGAAAATATTCTGAAGGGATATCAGTGTCCAAAAAAGTTTTATGTCATGACCAGATGTAAAGCTGTAAAGACACGACAGGAAGTACTAAGATGATGTGATGAAGCTACTGCATGAAAGGCAGAAGATCAGTTCTAACTCACATTTATGCTTGTGCAGCCCATGGTTATTCACTTGTGGAGCATCTATCACATCCATCCCCCTGCTAGTTTACTGTGGTCAGAGCGGGGAGGTGAATGGCCCTTCCTACCTCTTGACAACAATGGAGGAACATATTACACCGCACATGTTTCTCCTTTCTGCTGGTGGAACAATAACTGCAGTGGATCTGTAAAGAGGCGTGTTAGGGAACTTCTAGCTGGTTTAGACATCCCACCAGTGTGCATTCATATCTGCTTCTGGAGTAACACTTACGCCACTTCTTTAAGCCCCTCAAACAGTCAGCTTGAGTGACATGTAAACTTGAGTGACATACAACAGCACTTCCTCCTCCTCTACCCGGCAGTCCCCTATGCACCCTCAAGATCTGCTGAAGCATTGGGGGATCCTAGAGTAGATTTTTTAGAGGCGTGGGGAGAGGAGAGAAAAGGGAAGTATTGTTATACAGTACCCTTAGTATCTCAATTTACACATTATATTTCTCAAGTTGCTTGTGCACTATATCAGAAGTTAATTATCCTTTTGCTATTTTCAATTTCTCCATATTTCTTTAATTACTGTGGTACCTTAGCTGTCAAACTTACTCCATTCCGGGAGTCCATTTGACTCCCGGAACCATTCGAAAACCAAGGCACTCAATCGGAAGCCACAGAAGCCGGGTCAGACGTTTGCCTTCCGAAAAATGTTCACAAACCAGAACACTCACATCCGGGTTTGCGGCATTTGGGAGCCAAGCCATTTGACAACCCAGCTACCACTGCAAGGTACCACTGGTATCCTACAGACATATTCTACAATAATTATTTTCTTATTTTTCGGTGAATAACCTTAAGCCATTAAAAACAAAATGTAAGATAGTAAATTCCATTTCCATAATATGCTATTGATTGTTACTAAGTGATATCCAACAACAGTCAATTCAAATATTATCTGAAATGTGCAGATGTGTAATAATATGCTTCTCTATTTCTAAAAGCTAGAAATATGAATCGTTCCTACTCCTAGAACCCATTCTCAAAATTCCCCTTCCCACTGGAAATGTTTCTCCATTGAAGTAACTCTATACCCATGCTGTACCATGTGCTTACCATGTAAACAGGCTCCATATATGACCTGCTGTCAAGATAGAAGTGTTTCTTCTCTATATTATTATTATTATTATTATTATTATTATTATTATTATTATTACTACAATAGAACTGACTTTTAGACAGGTATGTGGCAGTAGTGTATATAATGATTAAACTAAGGTTACCAGATTCCCCCCCCCCAATGAATAGGGGGACACATTTCAACTTCAATGGATTTTGTATGGGAACTGATTTGTAAATCTGGGGATTGTCCTTGGGAAACGGGGATGTCTGGTAACCATAGATTAAACCTTTCCTATTTGAGAAGTTGGGAGGCACTATATTGTGGAAGCTTCCCAAGTGATTTTGACCCACTGTAATAAATGTGTACTCTATTTTAAAGATGAGCTCAAGTGTTTTGCTTTGCTTTTGAGTTCAAAAACACAAAATTTGCATCCCTGAATGCTCAGCCTTGCTTATTTACGTACATTGAAATCAACAAATCTGTTTCCTCAAAAAATGCAATTGTGTGATGAATCAATAAATATTCTTAGACAGAACCTATGCACATTTAAATAGGTCAACAAGAAAATGCATGATCTAGTTAAGATGCCTGCATTGCAGGGGATCACTTCCAACTCTACAATTCTATGATTCTGTGATCATTAATTATTGCAGTGGGAGGAGAAAGATTCGGCTGATTAATGTCCTCTGCATGGCAACCTCTGCCATCCTCCCAAGTAGCTTTATGGCATCAGCTTTTGGCAGTTTACATTGTGCAAACTTCCACAGGTCCT